CTCAACGCTTGAGACAATAAGTTGCAGGTGGTACAGTGTTCAAAATTGTACAAAAAAAAAGAAAAAAAAAGTAGTGCTTTGTGCCCCCACCATTCTCTTCTTCTCTTCTCCACTAAGCTTTCTTTTAAATTGTGAGCAATGTTGCTCTTGTTGTCCACTACCAACTGTTTAATTATTGTACTCCCCTCCCCACTTCTCATACTCCTATAAATAACCCTCACTTCCTCTATCTCTAAGTTCGTCCTATCTCTCTCTATTTCCTTCTTTGTATGGTAAATTAATTAAGCCCATATATATATAGAAGAGATCACCAACGGTCATTTTCATTTCATTTTATTTTTTGACCGTCAACTATGGAGCTGCATTCTCCTACCTCAGCCAAAAAGCTATGGAACATCCTAAGGATTGCTTTCTTCATGATGAGGAAAGGGCTCGTGGCGAAGCGAAAGCTGATCCTCGACATGAACCTCGTGATGAAGAGGGGCAAGATCCTTCGAAAATCCATAGGCAACCTCATGTTCCATTACAATCATGATCACCACCATCGATCGAGGAACAGCCCCGCTTCGCTCGGTCACGGCTTCGGCCTACGCGAGTACGAGTTCTCGTGCACGAACAGCCCGAACCCGGTCTTCTTCCGCGCGAGTTCAAAGCGCAGGCATAGCTACTTCTTCCCGTGCATCACCGCGAGTTCCGCGGACGAGGCCGATGATTACAGAGCATCGCCGGCCATCGTGCTGCCGAGGATTGAGTTCTCGCCGCAATGTAGTACGTATAATTTGACCGAGCTTGCGCCCGGTCATGACAGGAATATTACCCCGATCCGTTCGCCTCTGTCCGTTAGGGTTTCGAACTTTTCCTTGGCGGAGGAGGGTGATGGGTCGAGCTGTGAGGTGGACAGCCAAGCTGAGGAGTTCATCAGGAAATTCTATCAGCAGCTGCAGGCTCAGGGGAGGATAGCGATGCTACAGTGCCAAGAGGATGAATATCGAGAATTAATGCTCGCTAGCTAGAGGGAACTGATATATATATTGATTCTATGTAAGTGCATGCATGTGCATACGCATGCGTAGAAATTTGCAGTTAATGGCATCTTTGTGAATCAAGATTAAGATGGATTATGCATGTGAAGGTTTGAGATATTTTGAATAATGATCTTCGTGTCAATTAATGGGATCAAATTAAGATAAATTTGCTATCAATATTAATCCCTATGGTACCGTTTGGCAAATGGTTATGTGACGGGTTAACGAGACTTAACCCCTTTTTAACCCGCCAAATACAAAAAATCTGTACAAGGGTTAAAGTGAGTTAACCCTCCATAATTTGCCAAACATAAAAAATATAGAAGGGTTAAGCTAACCCCTCTAAATGGATTAAAATGAGTTAACCCCTCAAAATAAGGGGTTTACTAATACCCCTATTTTAGAAGGATTAAGAGTTAACCCTTCTAATTATAAAGAAAATAGTCAAAATTCTTGTTATTCCCAAACACTACAAATGATCATAAGGGTTAAAATAAAAATTTTATAACGGGTTAATAATTTAGTCCTTCATATTATCAAATGAGCTAACTATGTTAATCCTTCTTATTAATCTCTCTTCCTTAACTCTTTGTCAAACGAGGCTATACGTCTAAACATTCATGTAAACGTCCCTAACTTTTCTAAATTGAAGCAGATTACAAGTAATCCCCTCATCTATAGTAGTATTTAGACTATATATTTATCACCCGCAACTCATTTATTAGCCACTTGTCACCCCTCAATCCATTGCTAGAAATTAAAGGAAGGTTATTTGCGATTTGTCAACTGGATGATTCTTGCTCGTAAACGAGTTGAGAGATGATAAATACGTTGTGTTGTATCTTGAATTTGTCATAGGCTCAAAAGGTTGCAGGCTGAGTCAGATTTCTCAATCTAATGAAAGCTAGTGGTGCTTTACCGCTGGCTGTCTTTTTTGATTAATTCTCTAACTAATATTAGAAATGATAAGCTTGAAATGGCTAGAGGGACTTAATATGTTATTAATCACACAAGTAGATACAATAATTTATATATGCATGCACAGAGATAATGTTGTTCTTATCCTCTCATTTCTAATAATAGATTTGTATGCAAAGATGGAGATGGGTTATGATTGGTTTCAGACCTTAAAACAATAAACCCAGTATTTAAACATTCATCTAACATTTTCCTATTTACCTTTCCCAATTTGTGTCTTGAATTTGTCATCGGATTAAAAGTTTGTGGTATGAGTCAGATTTCTCAATGTTTGATAAAATCTTTTTTTTTGTCGCATATATTGACTACCTTTTCTTTTTTTCCTTTTTGGTATCCAATGGAAAATGGATAGTTTAAAAATTGCTTCTAGCTGCCCTTAAGCAGCTGTTGCCTTGTTGATTTTCTCCTCGTGACATTAGATTATAAATGTGTGAGCCCCACCATTGAGAATCTCTCATCCAGCTGCCTTTTAGTTGGGAACCTCATGTTGTTGTAGGTACAACTTAGGATATTAGTAAAGCCTGTGACCAGCTTTATAATTGGTTGTTGGGAGACCTAACTGCATAATTGCCCCTATCCAACTGTGGATAAGACTTAAAGATGAAGAGGGTTGATCAATAGGTTTATTAGGAGTACTAGCTCATTATCAATAATTGAATATAGAATCATATACATACATATACTTCTCTAAAGATCCATTTTCACTTTGCATTGGATAGCATAAATTGAACTGTATTAAAGATCATAAGCAGCAGGTTATTAGAAGTTGATCTTCCTTTGAAAGAACCTTTTTTTTTTTGTCAATGAATGAAAACTTTATTCATCACCATGTAGAAATGAATGCGCACATCCAGTTACAAGAAAAACTAGAGACTGGTTATATAAACCCAGTCAACAACCTTTACAAACTCTCAATGAAATCTTTCATATGATGTGGTATATTTTCATTCAAAATCTTTGTGTATATACATAACTTCACCGCACGGAAAAGCTGATCAGGCCCTCGAGCTTTCTGCTGAAACAACCTTTGATTTCTCTCTTGCCATAGCAGATAAACAGATACTGACAGAGCAATTCTCTTCAACATCTTTTTGAAGCCTTTTCCCCTCAAATTCCTATTATACCAATTGAAAATCTGGTTCCAGCTACATGACTGCCAGTTGAATTTCAGCCATTCCATTACTTTTCTCCAAACATACGCAGAATATTGACAATCAAAGAAGATATGCTGGCAGGTTTCTGCTTGGCTATCACTTGAGCACAATATACACTGATTTGAGCTTAACACTCTCATTTTGCACAGCCTCTCTTGTGTGAGTAACCTGGAGAGAGACGCTAACCACAAGATGAAAGAATGTTTGGGGTAATGTCACCCCCCCATATAGTCCCTGATCCTTCAAACAAAACAGCCTGCTGCTGAAAAAGAACCCTGTAAATCAATGAAATGCTGATATTATTGTTAACACAGCAACTATTAATTGCATTCAGAAGGTTATCAACACTTCCCAACTTCTCCCTCATCATGTTTCTAGCTTTTAGAAGTTGTTTCCACATCCATGAGTCACTTTTTTTAGCTTGTATCTGCCAGATATTTGTTTGTCTCAAATATGTGCCGTGCACCCACTTAATCCAAAGAATATCATTTTTAAGGTGTATCATCCAAAGTAGCTTAGCTGCTGTTGCATAATTCCAGAGTTTAGCTGAGAATAAACCTAAGCCACCATGCTTTATGTCTTGACAAACAGAGCTCCAAGATACCAAATGGATTTTGTGGCCCAAAGGAAACTAGAACACATGCCGTCAATCCTTTCAAGCACCTTAACAGGAAGAATAAAATTACTTGTCCAGAAAATTTGAATACCCAAAATAACTGATTTTATCATTTGCAATCTCCCAGCATAGGACAAAGTCCTTGTATTATGCTAATTTTGAAACTGATCAGATATCTTGTTGATGAGAGGAGAGCAATCAAGCTATGAAAGTCTTTTTGAAATAAGTGGCATCCCCAGATATCTTATAGGCAATATCCCCTCTGAAAAATTCAGGCAGTCACAGATCTGGCTCTTCAGGCTATTTTCAATTCCACTCATAAAAATTGAACACTTAGAGGGATTAGGATTCAAACCAGATACCTGACTAAATTCCATTAGACAGTCCCTCAATCTTGATATTGAGTACATATCTGCTTTACTAAACAAGAGGAGATCATCCGTAAAGATTAAATGTGACAGCTTCAATCTTGAACACTTGGGATGAAATTTAAACATTCTATCATTCTTAGTGTTTAGTTTGCGGGATAAGTATTCCATTCCAATAACAAACAAATATGGAGAAATGGGATCACATTGCCTTAATCCTCTAGCTCCTTGAAAGTAGCCATGAAGAACTCCATTAATGGATATGGAAAATTTAGGAGTGGAAATGCATTCCATAATCCAAGTAATCATAATATCAGAGAATCCTAATCCTTTCAACATAGCTCTTATAAAACCCCAATTAATGGTATCAAATGCTTTCCTTAAATCAATATTCAGAACAGCTCTAGGGGAAATGTGCTTTCTACCATAGTGTTTGACTATTTCATGAGCTAGCAGCTCTAGGGGAAATGTGCTTTCTACCATAGTGTTTGACTATTTCATGAGCTAGAAGAATATTGCTAGATATTAGTCTACCTTTAACAAATTCTACCATAGTGTTTGACTATTTCATGAGCTAGAAGAATATTGCTAGATATTAGTCTACCTTTAACAAAAGCACTCTGAGCTTCACTTATCAAGAATCCCATAACCTTTTGAATTCTGGCTGCAATGATTTTAGTGATGATCTTGTAGATACAATTGCAGCATGATATTGGCCTGTAATCTGCAGCATACTGAGGATTAAGAATTTTTGGAATCAATGTGATGGAGGTAGAGTTGAATGCACCAAGAAGCTTCCCAGAGCTAAAAAATTCCTCCACTGCTGCATAAAGTTCATCTTTTATAACATTCCAAGATGCCTTGAAGAAAAGAGCACTGTAACCATCTGGACCAGGGCTTTTGTCATTAGACATAGAAAAGACTGCTTGTTTTATTTCCTCTCTTGTTACTGGAAGACTGAGCATTTGCCTCTGTTTAGGTGAGAGAAGAGGTCCATTTGCTATCACTTCTGGATCAGGAGTTGCAGTAGGAACAGAAGTACCCAAAATCTTTTTGTAATAATTAATGATTTCTGTAATAATTTCAGATCTGTCAGTAATTCTAGACCCATTGTCAGTGTATAGAGTCAAAATTCTGTTGAGGTGCCTTTTCTTCTTCATGATAGAATGGAAAAACCTTGATCCCTTATCCCCTTGCAAGCTCCAGTTAATGTTAGCTTTCTGTTTGTAATAAGAAGATTCACAGTCAATCAATCTGTCATATTTTTTGATGCATTCTTTTTCCCTTGCAATCAAATCTGAGTTGAAAAGATCATCATTTAATTGCCTTTGAATATCTGCTAAGTCTTCCTTAGCTCTACATACTTGTTCACTTATGTTCATGAAGTGATTTTTATTAAGCTCTTTAAGGGCATGTTTAAGCCTTTTGAGCTTAGTATGAAATCTGAACATATTGTAGCCTTCACTGCTTTGATCCCATATAGAATTCACTGTTGAAATAAAATATGGATGCTTAAACCACATATTGAAGAACTTGAATGGTCTTTTACCCTCAGAAATATCATCTTCAATGGTTAATAAGGCCGGAGAGTGGTCAGAGCATTTTGGCATGAGATATTCCACCTGACTTGAGGTGTATGAGTGGATCCAGTTCTCATTCGCCAAGCACCTATCCAGTCTAGACCAGATTTTGCTTTCAGTCTCTTGTTTGTTACACCAAGTATAGTAACAGCCAGTAGATCTTAAATGCATCAGCTGACCAGTGTTAATGAAGCTTTGAAAATCCTCAATGTCAGCTTCTGTAACTGGCAACCCTCCAATTTTCTCTTCACAACTTGCAATAGCATTGAAATCTCCACCAATTATCCATGGACTATTGACACTTTGCTTTAAAGTAAGTAAATCCCTCCATAGATTTTTCCTGCTAGACATTTGATTTGAAGCATATACTATAGTGCATAGACTGGTAAACCTTCCATCTCTGGATTCAATAGTTCATGTAATACATTGTTCTGAAAAAAAAACATTCTGGACTGCCAAAATATCACTATCCCAGATAATCCATATTCTACCATTTCTAGCTTCTTGCACATTTGAGAGCCATTTCTAGCTTTTGGTAATTTTGTTTGCTAGACTTTGCAGCTTATTTTCAGAGAGCTTTGTTTCCAAAAGAGCTAATAATGAGAGATTATATTCTTGAATAAAATGCTTGACTATTGTATGTTTAGAGGATTTATTAAATCCTCTAATATTCCAAATAGCAAGATGCATCAATGAGATTTCCCACCTCTGTCTGCACAGGATGGATCAGAAATTAGCTGCTCTAGGGGAGAGAAGAGAGAAGGCAAAGTACCTGAAGTTGGTGCAGTTATATTAACTCTCCTTGCTATGTTGTTCCTGTTCACACTTGTAAACCCTGATGCATTAACAGTTGGACTGATCTGCTTGAAGCCAGGTGCTTTTGGGGTTAAGAAGTTTTGCTGATACAGGGCATGTTCCTTCACTTGCATATATTGATTAGAGATAGGGCTGATTACCCTTTCACTCAAACCAAAATTGCTCTCCCAGTTTTTCCTTGCCTGTGCAGAATCTTCATGTGCATGTTTTTCATTCTGTGCATGTTTCTCAGCAGATTGTGCTTCCTGATTTGATGAACTAATAACATGATCCTCATAACCAGAAAAAGAAGTTATTACATTCTCATGCAAAGACTCCTTACTAGGTCCAGAATTAGATACATGTTCAACATGTCCATTTGTAGCATTTCCAATCTGCCTGTTAACAGGAACCCACACCTTCTTAGTTTTATTTTTCCTGCACTGTTCAGTATCATGACCAACCATACAGCATGTAGAACACCACTTAGGTTTAAATTCATACAAGACTTGCTGCATATAGCTTTTTCCATCAGGCCCTTCTATTTTCAAAGAATCAGGCAAAGGTTCTTTAAAAGGAAGTTTCACCTCTACTAAAACTCTAGCATAACTCAATCTCTGTCTAGTAGCCGTGAGCTTATCAGTAGTAATAGGTTTCCCAATTAGGCTAGCAATTTTACTAATTCTAGTTGAGCTCCAAAGATTAAGCTTTAATCTTGGAAATTGGACCCACATTGGATATGAAAAATCTTGAAACTTTTCTATGTCTGTATCAATACTCCATGGCTTCAACATTAAAGGTCTTGATCCAAAAAACTAAGGCCCTTCCTCAAGAATATAATTCATTTGCTTTTGAGTTTGAAAATCAAATAGGAATAACCCTTGTTTGATAAGAGAGATCTTAGGTATAGAAATTTTACCCCATAGCTTGTTAACATAGGATTCCATTGACTTAAATTTGACATTCAAACCTATAACATGCCCAATTAAGGCATTTCTCCATAATTCTTCACCTTGCTTCCATTCATCAGCAGTAAAAGAGGCAGTATTGGTAAGGGAAGATGGCATAAAGCTTAGAGATAACCTATTGCCAGATTTCCTGTTATCAGAAAAAAGGCTAACAAAAGTTTTGCTGGATCCAGTTCTTTTCTCCTGTAAAACATCATTGACCTTTTCCTTTACAGGTTCATCCTCATTTACCAGGAAAACATCATTAAATTTTTCCTTTACTGGTTCATTCTCTTTTTCTTCCAGATGCAAAATCACAGATTCATTAAAATCAGAATCAGGTTGATGATCCTTAGTAAGCACATTTTCCTCATTTGTATCAACAGATCTGACTTCTACAGTATTTCTCACATCAGAAATCAATGTAACAGTATCCGAATCAGCTATCAGATTTGAAATCTCTGAAACTGGATCATGAATTCTTGACTTTGAAGAAGAACCTTGGAACAGAGGAAAATCTGAAGGAGTTACCTCAAATTCCACCTCTTCAGCCCAGGAAACCCTAGGGGATATATTATCACCATTACTAGAGATATGAGAACTATATAGATGCCGAGCTTGAACTCCATTAATCTGAGTTGAATGCAGAGTTTGTTGCGGATTGATCATGAATTCAGAAGATTTAAGTATTACTTCCATTGATTTCTTCTTCTTTTCTCCTTTTGGACCAGTCGATCCCATAATACTGGATCCATCATCATCTTCATCCAAGCTTGTGTCAAATTGATCCTCAGAGTGCAGCGAATTGAGGCTAGAGGATCTCAAACCAATATTAAGAATCTTCCTTCCACTCTGTTTTCGTCAAAAGTTGGTCTCGTTGTGGAATTCATTATATCTTTGATCGATTACAACAAATTCAAAAGAGATAGCCTTTTATAAAACTTCTTTTACACAACAGAATGAAAATTACAACTTTTTAGAAACAAACGCATGATCGTTGTTTGGATCGCTGCTTGCTTGGGATCTTTGCCTGTGCCGGGAGCGCTTTGACTCGTGGACCACCAAATCACAGATCGTGAGGGGTTTAATGATTCTTCCTTCGTTTATCGAAGTGAGAATTTGAAACGAAGATCTTATCAAAGTAAGACGATCGTTCTTCTTAAGATCAAGTCAAAGCTCGAATCTCAAGGAATTGCCAGAAGCTCAAGTACTATGTTCTGTCTGCTCCAAAAAAAATGCTCCTCTCCTTCAAAATGATCTTAGGGGGGTATTTATAGCCCCTGGACAAATAGTGCTTCCGAGACAGTGTTTGCTGTCTCGGGTTCCAAGACAATAAAGACTGTCTCGGGTTCCGAGACAATAAACACTATCTCGGAAAACTTCAACTGTCCGACAGTTTTCTTGTAACTGCCTTTCCACGTTTTAAAACTCTGTTATTTTGGCAGTTATCAACATGATTCTCGCTCACGACGTTTCCCACGTTCTTGAACAGTTGGTAGCCACGTGTCGGCGGTTATTTCAACAACTTGCAAACATTTCAAAGCTGTCTTGCGTGCGAGATAGTAAACACTGTCTCGCACGCGATACAGTAAACACTGTCTCGCACTGCGAGACAGACTATACTGTCTCGCCCTTTGAGACAGTCAATATTGTCTATTTGAATATCTATCAGCATTTTTTGACGCCAACAGATACCCCCTCCAAAGTATTCCAGACTTATTCTTTTATAGAGGAGTCTGGAATACTTTGGATAAGATAGATTTTAGTGACGATCCCTTCAATACTTGGTTGAGTAGATCGTGTAGAAGAATCCATAAAATGGCTTCGGCTCTTGATCTCTTCATCCTTTAGCCTATTCAGTTCTTTGTAGAATAGCTAATACTCTTCCGGTACTGCGTTTATCGCTCGACCATTATCGAGATCTTGAATCGAAGCTGGTATCTCTTTGACTTTTGTCACCAAATTGATACTTGATTGTTAATCACTGTATCAGTCTTCATAAGAACACAGTTTATACTCATGTATTTTTTGGAGTTTTTGAGAAATAGTTAACCTCATATACTCGTTGAGAGGTAACCAGGTTATTCTTAAGAATATTCTAAGTGATATTCTCCAGAAACTTCCTGTTGAGATTAGGGAAACAGTTTAGACTCGTGTACCTATTGGAGTATTCAGGTTATTCTTAAGAATATTCTAAGTGATATTCTCCAGAAACTTCCTGTTGAGATTAGGGAAATAGTTTAGACTCGTATACCTATTGGAGTATTTTGGTCTCTTTTTTGTTGGTAGAGGTGAACCCGATGATGGAGAGGAAGAATTTTATATTCTGTCTCCTGGTCTCTTTTTTGTTGGTAGAGATAAACCCAGAATCGGAGAGGAAAAATTTTATATTCTATCTCCTGGTCTCTTGTTTGTTGGTAGAGATGAACTCAGAATTGGAGAGGAAGAATTTTATATTCTATCTCCTAGTCTCTTGTTTGTTGGTAGAGATGAACCCAGAATCGGAGAGGAAGAATTTTATATTCTATCTCCTAGTGCAAAGGAAACTCGAAGTAGGAGTTTTGAGACGATCCTAACTGTAGGAAGGTTTGATCGCTCGATTTGTGGACTTCTCGTTTATGGAAGGATCGAGAAGAGATTTTGGCTTTGGTCCTAACTGTTTAAAGGTTTGACCAAGTAGGGGTTTGAGACGATCCTAACTGTTTAAAGGTTTGATCGTTCAATTTATGGACCTCTCGTTCATGGAAGGAATCGAGAAGAGATTTTGGCTTTGGTCCTAACTGTTTAAAGGTTTGACCAAGTGGGAGTTTGATACGATCCTAACTGTTTAAAGGTTTGATCGTTCAATTTGTGGACCTCTCGTTCATGAAAGGAATCGAGAGGGGATTTTGTCTTTGGTTCTAACTATTTAAAGGTTTGACTAAATGAGATTTGAGACGATCCTAACTGTTTAAAGGTTTGATCGTTCAATTTGTGGACCTCTCGTTCATGGAAGAAATCGAGAGGGGATTTTGGCTTTGGTCCTAACTGTTTACAGGTTTGACCAAGTGGGAGTTTGAGACGATCCTAACTGTTTAAAGGTTTGATCGCTCGATTTGCGGACTTCTCGTTCGTGGAAGGAATCGAGAAGAGATTTTGACTTTGGTCCTAACTGTTTAAAGGTTTGACCAAATGGGAATTTGAGACGATCCTAACTGTTTAAAGGTTTGATCGTTCAATTTGTGGACCTCTCGTTCATGGAAGGAATCGAGAGGGGATTTTGGCTTTGGTCCTAACTGTTTACAGGTTTGACCAAGTGGGAGTTTGAGACGATCCTAACTGTTTAAAGGTTTGATCGCTCGATTTGCGGACTTCTCGTTCGTGGAAGGAATCGAGAAGAGATTTTGACTTTGGTCCTAACTGTTTAAAGGTTTGACCAAATGGGAATTTGAGACGATCCTAACTGTTTAAAGGTTTGATCGTTCAATTTGTGGACCTCTCGTTCATGGAAAGAATCGAGAGGGGATTTTGGCTTTGGTTCTAACTGTTTAAAGGTTTGACCAAATGAGGGGTTTGAGATGATCCTAACTGTTTAAAGGTTTGATCGTTCAATTTGTGGACCTCTCGTTCATGGAAGGAATCGAGAGAGGATTTTGGCTTTGGTCCTAACTGTTTAAAGGTTTGACCAAATGAGAATTTTGTGAGGGAAGATTGATCCAACGAAGTGATCGAATCTCATCTCAGCAAAAGAGTATTCGGAAGTCATAGTAGGAGTTTAGTGTTCATAATGATCGGGTTATCCCTGAAAAAATTACATTTAACATTCTTCCGGGAACTTCCCGTTAAATGAATTATCCACCCCCAGCTTTCTTTGCAAAACTGGGTGTAACGAGGAATACGTTATCCTCAGTCGCATGTTCGGGTTATCCTTAAGAATATAAGATTCTCCAGGAACTTCCCGTTATATAAATCATCCACCCCCAGCTTCCTTTGCGAAACCGGGTTTAACATTATACTCAGTTGGATAATCGAGAAGCAGTTTATACTCATATACTCTTTGGAGTGTGGGATTTTATCATTGGCGAGGAGGTATTTCAATATGGCTGGGGCTTCATCATTTTCGAAAGAATACTCCTTTTGAAACTTCGGATCGAGAGTCTCGTTCCCAGTGATTGTAGATGTCGTCGGTCGGTTTCTCTCAGCTTTCTTTCTTTTAAGAAAGTGTTCAGCTTGTTCACCGCGTATTTTTAAATCTTTCCAAGTTTTGGATGGTACGACCCCCAGGGTTTTTAGGACATCGATGGAGAGATTATTATGGCATGTTTGCAGGATGAACTCCTCTGTAATAGGATCTCTGCAATTCATTGCTTTGTTACGGAAGCGTTTGACAAAATTATCGACTGACTCTCCGTCTTTTTGCTTCTCATCTAAAAGGGTTCCGATTGACACTTCGGTGTCATCATCGAAGAAATTGCTAAGAAATAAACTTTCCATGTCATCCCAGCAATTGATGCTCCCTGGCTTGAGACGTCGATACCAATCGAAGGCGGGCCCACGAAGGGTGCCAACGAATGACCGGACCATTAAAGCCTCGTTTCCAGAGATCATGCCTAAATGAGACTTGAAATAAATCAAGTGCTGAGTAGGCGAGCTTTTCCCGTCAAACGGTGTGAAGTTAATCAGATTGAATTTTGTCGGGTATGGTATTGAATCCCATTCTCTTGGATAGGGACATGGAATACCCGTCCTTTTCACTTCTTGAGTCGTCATCAAAGCGTCGATTTTGTTTTCAAGCTCTTTTATTTTCTCATCATCGTCTATGTCTTCATTCGAAGGACGTTGAGGAGAATGAGTTAGACCACCCCCTG